AGCGCGTCGCTCGAGGCGGGCACTGTACAAGAAGAGAAGCCCCATGGAACAAAATAATTCGCCAACACCTTGGGGACACTGGCGTGTGATGTCCCCTGCCCCTCCCGCAAACCTTTTCCGCGGAAGGCACGTTCTGCCACGGTTTGACGTGGCTGGGCTGGCTGGGGGGGGGCACCCAGGGTAGTGACTGAACGGTTCTGGCGTCCAGCATCCTCCAAGCGGGTACAAGATGACCCCAGAGGGCTCTACATGGCCTCTAGAATTTCGCAGGCTGTTTAACATGGTTCACGAGTACCTCCAGCATTCGTCGCAGAGGCCCCACGACAGCTCGAGATGGCCAGGGAACTCCTCCCCGATCGTGCCCCCGAGAGGCCCAAACCGCCTCTCCAAAAAGAAGAAACTACGCTGTTCAATGTGTGTTGGCTTCTCCAGCTCTCCTGCTTAACAGGAGGGCGCCCCAGAGGGCTCCAAGCGGGCCCGAATGCCAGAACAAGACTGCGTCTGAAGGGGGCCAAGATGGCCCAAGCTGGCTCAGGAAGGCTTCGAGATAGGCGCAACAGTGCAGAGACCGCTCAAGAAAGCACCAGACGCCCCCCAAGAGACCCCCGAAGCCCCCGACAGGCCCACAGCCACAGTATGCCTCCAACGTAGTTTTTATCCCCCAGCGCAATTTCATGCCGCCAAACAGGGCCTGTCGCAGGCATTCGGGACGTGCCTCTTGGTGCGGTGCCCCTCCAGAGATGACCGGCATCTTCCGGTGCCTCCATAGGAAAGAGACGGTGCCGCGCCAGGGCCGGGAGCCGTTCTCTCGAGACGTCCCGCGGCGCCGCCCCCTTTTCCCGTACCCCAGCGGCACGAGAAAGGCCGGGGCTGCTGTGAGGGCCGGACGCTTCGGCACGCATGTAGGCGTAGGGAGTACGGTAGGTTTGCGTCGTGTCGACCAGCGGCGACCCCAGCGCGGGCGTTCAAGGTTGAACGCCGGCGGCGGCCCAGAATCGATCGATGTTGAACGATCGGACGTTGCGGCAGCGGCCGATCGTTCAAGGTTGAACGATCCCTGCGGTGTCAAAAACCAACGCTGGGGTCGGCACGACACGAACCTGCCGTAGGCGTAGGGAGTAATGAAAGATCCCCCCCGCTTGGGCGGAATCGGATCGCTTCTCGCTCCCGAAAAAGGATATCCCGCCCCCCTGGGCCCCTCAGCGCGAGATCCCACCGAGGTCCTCACGGGATTCCAGCAGTACCCTGATCGTATCCCAATCAGGTCCAAAGAGGGTTGCAACATCCACTCAGATTCCAATCGGATTATAATAGGTTCGACGGGCTGCCTCAGGGATTTGGACCGTCGATCGAGCCTCGGTCCTGTACCCTCGATCGAATCTCGAATTTCGGTCCTCGATCGAGCCACGATCCTCGATCCTTCTCTCAGCTCTCGCCTTGCCTAATCAGGCGTTCGATTCAGCATGCATAGGAGGGCAGCAGGAGGATGATGCAAACTACTAACTCACTTCAAACTCCTGTACAACTAACTCCTACCACTGTTGCTCTGACTGCTGGTTTTCTGCTGCCCAGAAGGGACGGGGGCAACGTCGGAACACGTGTGTTTACCACAAATGGTGGTGGTGGTGGGGGATATTCCCCGTCGTGGCCTACGCCTGAGGGAAGGTAACACATGTGATTCTAGAAGCTATCTGGTTCAATATAATATGTATAGATTAGTTCGCCTTTATCAGGGTTGCTCAGTCTCTCAATTTTCTCCTGCCCAGAGGGGTGGGGTTGGGCACATTTCGGGATATGAGTTAAATTTAGCTTGGCGGTGCGGGGTGGGTGAGAGGTGGGGTACGATATTACCTGTCGTGGCCTTCGCTGCAAGGGAACACAAACAACATGCATTACTTATCAGGGTTCGCAAGTAGAAGCCACAGGGGGGAAGTGGGCAGGCAAACGCCCCAGGAAAGCCTGAAGCAGATTGCTGAGCATTGCTCTGCGTTGCCCTGCAATTATCGGCATTGCCTGGCCTTGCGTTGCATTGCTTTGGGGTCGTTGGCGATTCAGATTTTCCTGCGTTTCTTTGCACTGCTGCGCGTTGCTTTGCATTGTATTGCATTCCTGGGCATCGCTCTATCCTGGCGTTGCTTTGCGATGTACTTCTGGATGGCGTTCTGTAGTAATGTCTCAGGGCTGTATCTCAGGGGTTGGGACTGTCGGTGGGGGCTGTTGCCTCCGAAGAGGCCCTCTTGAGGCCTCTCTTGGGTTGTCTTATTTTATCCTTTTCACAGACCCGCGGCATTATTGGATTCATCGACGTGTCGTGGTGCTAACGATATGACTCGGCCCCCCTCCCACGAATTATTCAATGATTCTGGGTGCTACGAAGAACGGGCCGGACGAAAGGGGAGGATTGGGAAAGGGGGGGTTACGAAGTCTGCTGCATGCAGCTGGTTTCCGGCCCCGCCGCCGGGCCCATTCCTCGATACATGGGCGCCTCCGGCGCCGGGAGGCGCTGGGAAAATCAGCTGCGTGAGCTGATTCTCACCCCCCCCCCCTTTGTTGCTATCCCCCCCTTTCGCCCGGCCCGAGAAGAACGGGGGGGTTCGTTCATTGGAGGCCATTCTTACGTGTCGAGTGCGCAGCCGCCGCGGTTATCGAGGCGCGCAGCAGCGCGCCTCCTCCCCGAGTTCGCTCCGGGACAATCCGCCGACTTGAGAAGAGGCGCGTTCCCTACAGTCGGCCCGGATTAGTAGGTCGGTCCTGCCAAATCAAGGGAACCTTTGTGTCCTGTGTCTCGCGACCCATGTCTCCTTACCTTGCTATGGCAATGTTGCCCTCGGAACCAAGGAAGGATCTTGTGTCCTCTCGCGTGTCCTGTCCAATCAAGCCCGCCTGTACCCGAGTCCAAATTTGACCGGCAAGGGGTACTCGCTGACAGGTACTTTGGGCACCCGCCGAAAGTTCCCACTTTCAGGCCTCTTTCGGGCACATGCGGCATTGTCCGTATCGGCAAGCGCTGGGTTTGCCAGGTTGCTGGCCAAGGTACCTGTCAGGGGAGCGCGAATTGCCGCCACCGCCCTCAGGGCTCCGCTTGCTCCGTCGTCGCCGTCCGCCCTCTCATCCGGGTCCTCGTCCTTGTCCCCTTTCTCGTCGTCGCCGCCGCCGCTGTCGTCTTCGTCGTCGTCGTCGTCATCGCCGCCGCCGTCATCGTCGTCGTCGTCGCCGCCGCCGCCGCCGCCGCCGTGGTCCGCTGTGCTGCACGGGAGCGGAGTCGCGGAACGCCACTTGTATATCCACCCTCACGACCACCCATCGGGTGAGAAGGAGGATATCGGGGGGGAGTTCAGCTTTCGGTGTGCGATTGGGGTCGGATCGGCTTCGGCGGAATCCAGTTAGGCACCACAGAACACCATTTTGGTTATTGATTGAATCGCTTCGCTCATTTCGCTGGTTCGTAGGGAATTCTATATTCTTGCTTACGGGGGCTCTCTCGGGAGGCTTCTTGGTGGCCGCTGGGGGAGTCTTGAACGCGTCGCGGGCCGTCTGGAAGCGTTTTGCCTATGGGGACTCTTTCGGGCGGCTTCTTGGTGGCCTCTTGGGGACTCTCAAACGCGTCGGGTCGTTGGCACTTGCTTGCGTGTTCGGGAGGGCATTTGGGGGCCTCCTGGGGCCGCTTGGGAGCCTCTTGGGGGCCTCCTGAGGGCCTGTTGGGGGCCTCTTGGGGCCTCTTGAGGGCCTCTTGGGGACTCCTGGGTGTTGTGTCGTGTTCCCCCCCTGGGACCTCTCTTGGGGCGTTCTTGGGGCCTTCTTGGGCCGTCTTGGAGGCCTCTTGGGCCGCCTTGGAGCCATCCTAGGCCGCCTTGGGGCCTCTTGGGAGCCTCTTGGGCCCTCTTGGGGCGGTCTTGAGGGCCTCTTGGGCCCGTCCGGGGGTGTCGGGAAGCCGAAAAGGTGAAAACGCCAAAATCGCTCCAAAACCTAAGAAAATGTAATGAATTTTGCCTCTTGGGGCCCTCTTGAGAGTGCTCTTGGAGGCTTCTTTTGCCGTATGGGGGCCATCTTGGGCATCTTGGAGCGATCTTGTGGCATCTCGGAGCTCTCTTGTATCATCTTGAGGGGCTCTTGGCGGCCTCTTGGCCGTTCTTGGGGCTCTCTGGACGGCCTCGAGGGCGGCGCCCAGGTGGAAAACCATCTCTGACCCGAGTCGCCTGGGACCTGCCCGGGGTATTTTCGTCCGGGGACCCCCAGGGGCCGCCCCGCGCGCGCGAAGTAGAATTTGTGTAAAGCAGTTACCGGAGATCTTATCACACCTCTGGCCCGTTGGGCTGGCGAATTTATCGATCGCATTCTACCTATCGATCTCCCTCTATCTACTGATCTCACTATCCACCAATCTGATAGTCGGCATCACTATCGATCTACCTATCAAGTGTATATCGATCTAACTATCGACCCCGCTGTCGATCTCACACTCGACCTCACGGGACACCACGGGACACCACAGGACACCACGCCACGGGACACCACGGGACACCAGCCGGACATCCCCGAGCCACCGTTCGCCAACCGGGGGGCGTAGAGTCACTTAGCTTAGCTTCGCCTTAGACGCGTCGGGTTCATTCCTCTCGCGCGCCCGCGCAGGTTCGCCTCGCCCGCACGCAGGACATGAACACGAAACCGACACCGAGTTCCTGGTGGGGGGTCTCGGTTTCACTTCGAACTCACCCCCCAACCTGCACGGATTCTGGGCGCACGATCGTCTTGGCCATGATCGAACCTGGTGTGTATACGCTCAGGAACCTTGGCTTACCGTGTCGTGCCGCCGGTTCTGGCCTATCTCGCTTCGGCGCGACACGCTAAAGCCTTTCCCGAGCCTCCCGCACCGCGGAGCGGAGCGACACGCGATCCGCTTGCAAGGCATAGCGTGCCCCGCCGCGGCAGATTTCCCGACCTCGGGCGTGAACAGTGGGCGCCGTCCTGCGGCGGGCGCCCTGCGGCGGGCGCCCTGCAAGGCCACACCCCGGCAAGCTGGCCAGCGCCGCGCTGGCCGCTGCGCAGCGGCTCGACCGAGCGCACGACGCCCCAG